ATTAAGTCTGGCCATCCACCTGCACCACATCCAATCTATCACCATTCACACGAAAACATACACCCGCTAGACCTATACACACATAGTTAGTCACCGCTACTGGAGACCAACCATCACCATCTATACTAGCCATCAAATTAGCACGACTATGTGGACTTCCACTTTCACACATGTAACCACTAGATAACAAAATCAAGTGTTTTTGTATGTGTGGAGGTTAGCGGGAGACGGGGTATGTGGGTATGGGTTGGGTTGGGTGGCTCGACAATGGATGGTTATTGTGACCATGACAAACTTAGGGAGGGAGAGAATGAATGGTTTTGGGATGTGCAGTGGTGTTTTCATGTTGGTTGGTGTTGCTTGAATGGAGCTAGATCTGGGCTACAAGAAGTGGTGATAAAGTGGGCGGTAAGGATCAAAATTTTGTTTTGTTTTATAATTTTGGTCGGCTTGGAAACGAAAACGTTTTGAAAATGTTTTAAAAACAGGATAAAAACAAAGAAAATTTTAAAAATATATTTGCGAAACATTATGAAAATATTGATCTAAACATACCGAAACGCCATAAAACAAAAGAATTTTAAGGTCCCGTTTGGTAACATTTATGTTTTTCGTTTTTTCGTTTTTATTTTGATATTTAGAGAAAACAAGAAAAAAAAAACTTGTTTGATAACCTTTTTTATTTTTTTTTTCTGTCATCGTTTTGTAAACGAAGACGATTTTCAAAAACGAGAAAAAGATGTTTTTCATTTTTTTGATTCTGTTTTTCGTTTTTTAGAAAATCAAAAACTATAAACGTTACCAAATGAGTCCTAAGATTCATTTCGATTTTCATAGAAACAAAAATGTTTTTTATTTTTTGCTCGTTTTGAAATGGTAGTTCCTTGGTTAGAAGCACAGGAGTAGGGGAAGACCAAATATATTGGGATTATTTTGGAAGTGGATTATTTGGGTGCCAGTTTGGGGTTTTCTGAATTGGGGTTCTAGCCTTACTAATCTGGTTTGATGGTGTTGGGATTCAAGCCTTGGTTTTTCAATACAAATTTATTTGAATGTAAAAATGTCGAAACATGTTGTATTTAGTCTGTTAGCTGAGAAAAACTGTTAGGGAGGGGCTGTGTAATTTCAAAAACAAGGTGGTGTCATATGTGAATTTAGTGAACCAAAATTATTGTCACTTCCCTATTTTTACCAGACATATCCCTTCACTCGGGTGGGAATTGGTGCTTATAAGTGAATTCACTGCAGAAGAATGCTCAAGGGCTTGGTTAAATTTTGATCCTAACAATTAGGGTGTTGGTCGGGTTAAACTGCATGCCGACACACAACCTTATTTCCGTGAAGTGTTTTCTCTCACACTTGACGATTCGAATTTATCATTGTATCAAGCAGTGGTTCTAATCATTGAATATATGATAGGGAGGGGGAGATGGAAGGGATGCTTGCTTTCTTTCTTTTCTTTTCTTTTCTTTTATTTTTCATTGACCTGTATTTTCATTATTTTGTTTTGTGGGTGTGTGGGATTTAACATTAAAGTTAATACAAAATTATCAGTTTAAAAGCTTCCCCCATCCGCACACTGTTAGAGAAAACTGAGTGTGGCAGTATATAATGGCTTAAATTGATTCCAAATTTTCTGGAAAACATTATTGAGTTATTTTAAGCCTATGCAACAATACCTGAAAGGGTATGTACAGGCTTGTGGAATTAGAAATGCTTTATTGTATTTATAGTACGATTTTAGGTTCTTTTGTAAAGCCAAACCTTTTAAGTCCAATTTGAGGTTTGTTTGTAAACGGACACTTCAATTTTAACCTCATTTATGAGATCATCATTCATCACTTATCATGGATTTCTATTGCAACTCCAGGCAAAGACAATAGAGCTTTCAGTATACATCGTTGTAGTCCAAACATCCTTGTATATGAAAATGTGTCTAGTATTATGGCCAACAGATTTCAACCTGTTGACTTTGTTGGTACCTAACATGTTGAGTTTATTTATTCCAGCATAAATGGTCAAACCTATATTGTATACCACTTGTCGTTCTACAGTTCTTGTCCAACACCAAATGGAAGCATGGCAACTCCCTAGTTGTTTGATTTTGCATTTGCAATGTACAGTACCTAAATTTATATTTCCCTATATAGTGCATTCTGGGATAGTGTTGCACGTATGAACATACAAACCTACTTCATTGATCCTGGTACTTATCGTATGGCTGTTGGTTATTCCCGCCTTTTTCACGAATCTTGTGGTGAAATGATATTTGCTACTGTAGCTGACTAGAGTCTTGAATGTTCAGGGATTCAGGCAAGTATTCAACGTTTCTGGAGGGATTCATGCATATGCAGTCAAGGCTGATCCTTCAATTCCCACCTACTAAGCAGGATTCACCCTCCGGAAGATCTAACCCCTCCCCCCCTCTTCTTTTTGCAGGTGTCCTTTTTGTAGCGACAATATTCCCGTGTTTTTCCCCCTTGAAGTTCAACTATTAGTTTATAGAAGTTTTTGAGTGATATGTGAGAGAGTTGCATTGAAATTGGAAACACTCATTTTGTTTCTAACTATTTTTTTCCTGTTTTGGGGTGGGGTGGGGTTGGGAGGGAGATGAAGTACATTTTCTGAACCATGGAGGAGTTGTCTCAATTGAGTTTAGAATCGGACAATGTTGTGTCCTTCATGTTCTATTGGTTTTACTTATTTACAATTAATGAAATCATCCTGGCCTTTCTTGTAACTAGTTGTTGCACATGAATCGGTTTAAGTAACAAATAAATTCATGTTTCACAATTTCACTCTAGGGGACAACTTCAAACATCCAAATTCCAAATAATAAAAAATTTAAAACAAAAATTTTTAATCATTTTTTCATTGCCCGCATTCTCTCTCACCAAAGAAACTAATCCCAAATATTACTCATTAATCAAATACAGTCCAATGACTTGCAGTCTCATATAAGTACCCAAGAAATGGAATCCAATTTTTCCTTGAAGGCACCGAACTATATGCTTCTTGCTCTATGTGGTGGGTATGGAGCAGTACCGACAACTATATAATGTCCGTTTACCCCACGGTCCCAGTTGCAAATCTATTTTGGCATGAAGGAGGAATACCACCATCGATAGAATGCCAATATTTTCAATTGATAAACATTAAAAAATACCACAATGCAACCATGAATAATATAATAACAAAGAGACATCATAAAAGAATATGATACAAAAAAAAAAAAAAAATTAAGTACGGAAAATTCATGGGGACCGTGTCATAGAATAAAAAAAAAGTAATAAACAAATATAAAACTGAACCAAAACTCCGAAAATTATCGACCTTCGATCAAATGCATTGATAGTGGATGATCAAGATCCACCATTTATGTGAGGACGTGTCAGAGGCCCTTCTTGAAGGTGAGTAAACCATCAACTCGAGTTTCTTCGACTTCGTCAACACCATTGGTATACAAGGAGAGAGAGTTGGTAGTTGATCAACCCAAAAAATAGAGTGGTAAAGAGGAAGGGATAGAGAAAGATATGATTACATGGATGGTAGGAGTTTTGCATCTTTGACATAATTTCATTGGATTAGCTATAGTAGGTTTGTGCACCGGAAATTAATGTTGATGATGCTAATTAACCCAATGTAATGAAAGCAGATGAAAGGACATAAAATGATTTAACTGACTTTAGGATAATAAACAAGAGTAAAGTCAGAAACTTATACAGCGGCAGGGGAAAAGTTGATTGGTTTAAATGAGTTTCTTGAACTATTTATTGACTAGAAGGGTTTTTGAGGTAATTAATTTATATAGTAGGGATATTGTGGTCAATTAAAAGTTTTTCTATTATATGTACATTTTATAGTAGTATAGATATTAAATATTAGGATGAGAAAAATATAAAAACTTAAAACTTTAGAAACTATGCGATTTTGTAAAGGTTACCTAATTTCTTGACTCTTTTGCCTCTTCAATGGAGGAGAACAGCTTGGCCAAAGGGACCAAAAAAAATTACAAAATGTAAATAAATATAAGTTTACTATTTATTGAGGGGAAGAAACAAAAGACCTTGTTATTACATGATAGAATCTGTATAACACAAATAACAAGGGACATATCTTATAAATTAGCCTCTAATGGATTTGACTTCTCTCTACTTTCTAGAATAAGTGGAAGATCTTTCGATTTTTTTTAATGATAAGAATTTATTCAAATTAGTAAACTCCATTTATTTTGATTTTCAAAATCCGTAATATTTTTTTGAATATGATAAGATTTAGCCGACGCAAAAAAAACACAAAAAATCCTTATTACTAAAAAAGAATTGAGAGATAATTCAATTATGTGAAAATTAAGGATCAAAATTTTATTTTGAAGTGACTGAAACGTTTATGTTTTTAAAGAGATTAAAGAAAAATAGTGGTGAAATCAAAACGTTTATGTTTGGAATGTTTCGAGATTTTTCAAGATGTTTTGGTAAATTTTAACTAATATTTTAGAATGTTTTGAAAATAAATTTTTAATATTTTTTTAAAAAATATTTTTGAAATATTCCTAAAATATTTTTATTTTTTAAGCAACCGAAAATAATGCACTAAAATAAAAATGGGAGGCTAACTCTTAATATATTATCTTCCGCACATGTTTCATAGCCGTTAATTTCCCGGGAAATCCTCTGAACCCATTGTCTCAAATAATAAAAAAGAAAAGTTTGCCTCCGAAGTAAGTTTGAACTGACAGAGACTCTTTCAACCAATTTTAGGCAACTCCTAGAATCCCTCATCATCAATCCCCTCCAATATTCTCCCTCCTCAATCCAGCCTGTATCTTCCCATTTTTGCACCTTTGATCTCCACCTCTCTCTCTAAACTAACCTTTCTTCAACCCTCACAGACCCCCTATTTTCTTCTTGCTCTTCTCCCCGGGCCACCCCAATCCCATACTCTTATCCTTCCTCTCTCTCTGCCCATCCCTCTCCCTCTCCCTCTCTCTCCCATTTTCAATGGGGAATTGTTGTTCCAGAGGCAACACCAATAATGCCCCGGACAATAACAACACTGAAAAGGGAGAATCCGCCACGAAGAACTCTGAACATGGTGCCGATCCATCTGTTCAGAACAATGCCACCCAGGGTAAGACCGTGCCCCCTTCAGCCTCTCCAAATCCCTCTTCCAAGCCTTCCAAGCCGGTCCCTATAGGACCAGTTTTAGGCCGCCCAATGGAAGATGTACGCACCCTTTACACAATTGGAAAAGAGCTCGGAAGGGGACAATTTGGGGTCACACATTTATGCACACACAAGCAATCTGGCGAGCAATTCGCGTGCAAAACCATAGCAAAAAGGAAACTCGTCAACAAAGAGGATATCGAGGATGTTAGGAGGGAAGTTCAAATAATGCACCATTTGACAGGCCAACCAAACATTGTGGAGCTTAAGGGAGCTTATGAGGATAAGCATTCTGTGCATTTGGTGATGGAGCTTTGTGCTGGAGGAGAGCTCTTTGATCGGATCATTTCAAAGGGGCATTACACCGAGAGGGCTGCTGCATCATTGCTGAGAACCATTGTTCAGATCGTGCACACATGCCATTCGATGGGTGTCATTCATAGGGATCTCAAGCCTGAGAACTTCCTCCTCTTGAACAAAGATGAAAATTCACCTCTCAAGGCTACAGATTTCGGTCTATCCGTGTTCTACAAGCAAGGTAATTGTCAAGTACTTTTGTTTTTGTTGTTTTAAATTGTGCACCTTATATACAATGTTAGAATCTGGGAATTTTTCAAAATCAGAGTCCTGGAAAAGGTATATTTTGGTTTATGTTTGCAAGCTTAACACCGAACCATTTATAAAAGAAAACCATTTTTGCAGTATATTCTGTTTAGGGTATATAAATTGTAAGCATACAATTTCTAGGATTGATGTATTAATTTCATGGGAATGGATTTGATATAAGCTATTAAATTTAGGTGTTAAGCATTCTAATTGTCATCTTGTTTTAATATCTATTGATTGAAAAATAGCATTATAAGCCAAATGTGTGTCCTTTGACTCCTTTCTAATGTGATAAAATCTGCCCTAGATAATCAGACATCAAGACACCCCCTTGATTGGAAAGAATCTAAGTTTCTGTTCCGAAAACATATGCAAGAAGTCATTATACCATTTGTGCTATTGCTAATATGAACATTATTTCCACCTTATGGCAGGAGAAGTATTCAAAGATATTGTGGGCAGTGCATATTACATTGCACCTGAAGTCCTGAAGAGAAGGTATGGACCGGAAGTTGACATTTGGAGCGTTGGAATTATGTTTTACATTCTTCTTTGTGGAGTTCCTCCTTTTTGGGCAGGTAATTTATCCTTGAAAAATTATTGGATTTAGCTTTTTGTGTTGAATGTATATAGGTGTTTGATTTTATTTTCCCTTTTTGGGTCTCACGAAATAGCATATATGTTGTTAATTAAGTAGATGAGAAGCATAAGCACGAATAATTGACTGACTAAGATTGTTTCAGAATCGGAGCACGGGATATTCAATGCAATCTTAAGAGGCCATATTGATTTTACGAGTGATCCATGGCCTTCAATTTCACCTGGAGCGAAGGACCTTGTCAGGAAGATGTTGAATTCAGACCCCAAGCAAAGGCTGACAGCATTTCAAGTTCTTAGTAAGTATCAGTACATACGAACCTAAATGACAAGTAAAATGTATATAGCACCTGCCCAACCCTTTAGTTCATTGGTTGCTAAAAATGGGCAATACGAAACCGCAACTCCAGAGTTGAAAGATTATGTGAGTATGCATGTGAACAAGAAGTGACATAACAGGAAATGAGCTCAATTTCTTAGCTTATTGATAAATGGCTTTTTTTTGGATTGTGTTTGTGAGAGTAAATATTGAATATTATCTAACAAGCTTATTTTGTTCAGATCATCCATGGATTAAGGAGGATGGAGAAGCACCTGATACACTACTTGACAATGCTGTTCTGGGAAGGCTCAAACAGTTCAGAGCTATGAATAAGTTCAAGAAAGTTGCTCTTCGGGTACCTGATGAAGCTTGTGTATTTATTTATTTGGATGATAATATTCAGACCCTGTCAGAAGTTACAAAAAATCTCATTCATTTTATCTGCATGAGCGTCACTAACAATAGTCCTAAAAATTCCATTACTATAATATTGTTTACTTGTTGCTAATTTGAGTACAATTTTCTGGCACTAAAATATATTCGAAGGAGATGAAAATTTTCTTTTAATTGGGCTGATGTGAGGCTGATTTTATCCAAGATCCCAGAGCTTTCTAAGTCGTTAGCTAAAACCTTTTAGTTCTTCCCCTTGTTTTGCCATTAATATACAATCCAAATTCAGCTTGGAAAACTTTTATAGAACCATAATGTGATTTAGCAAGAATGATGTATTTGTACATAATGAAAAATATTTTCATGTGGATCCTTTGTACATGTGTTAGGAACTTCAATAATTGTCTCCTTTTTTGGGAATGCATAGGTTATTGCAGGTTGCCTGTCTGAGGAAGAAATCATGGGACTGAAGCAGATGTTCAAAGGCATGGACACCGATAACAGTGGTACGATAACACTTGAAGAGCTAAAGCAAGGACTCGCCAAGCAAGGGACAAAGCTATCGGAAGTCGAAGTAAAACAATTGATGGAAGCAGTAAGTTCCAAACAAAGAAGTTTTCAATAGCAAAAATCACAATTGAGAGGAGTCTTAAAGTTGATCATATTATAATAATGACGCTCTCTATTTTCAAAAATAGGCTGATGCAGATGGGAATGGGACCATAGACTACGATGAATTCATTACAGCGACAATGCACTTGAACAAAATGGACAGAGAAGAACATCTGTACACTGCATTCCAATACTTTGATAAAGATAATAGCGGGTAACTATAATGATGATGAACATACCATGGAAATTGATTTACGATGTACTGAATATTGCAATTTTTAACTATGTAATCAGGTGGATTACAAAAGAAGAACTAGAGCAAGCTCTCTGCGAGTTTGGCATGAATGATGGAAGGGACATAAAGGAAATCATTGCTGAAGTTGATGCCGATAATGTAAGCAACAAAAACTGACTCAGGAGAGATATTCATGGAAACGAAACACAGTTCCATCCGCTAGCAAGTAGGAGAAAAGGAACTGAATAACTCTAGGATATGGATATCCATTTTTTTTTTCATTGCCCCTCAATCTTGTTGACAACCATCTAGACCATAAAATACAAATGAGATATAAGTTGATCTCCTGAAAGCAACTGAAAATTACATCTGCAACTAGGTATAAAAAATATATGGTTCAGCAAATGCCTAGCTTATGAGGGGAGCTTTTCAAAATAGTAGCCTGTTGTTCTGCTGGACCAAAGTTTTAAGTCATATCATATCAAAGATAAAATTTGATGACATAACTAAATGCTTTGAATATTTGCAGGATGGTCGGATCAACTATGAAGAGTTTGTGGCCATGATGAGAAAAGGTAACCTAGATGTGGTGACAAATCCCAAGAAGCGACGAGATCTATCTTTTTCATAAATTTGAAGAAGTGCAACAGCAGAGACATATATACCTCAGTGTTTTTAGTGGTGGGGAGGCTAATTGCTTTCATATATCAGAAATATACATGAGTTCTAAAGTTCATGGATGCTCATGTACATTAAATTGGGAGAGGGCATGGAAGAGGATACACATAGCAAGAAATCAGTATTGGATTTGTTGTTTCTTTCTCTTTTGTTACTATTGGAATGCAGCTTGCTAATGATTAGGAATTAATGGAGGTCAGCAAGGCTGCTCTCCAATACTAATTCCCTTCTAATTCTATCTAGAATAACTTCCTATTATGAATTTAAGAAAGGTGCATTACATTTATGTGATTCCTTACCAATACAAGTCGATGATGGGGATTCAAAAGAATTTGAGAAAACGTAAAATTGAAGAGGAGCCAAATTTTATTAGTTGGGCAATACTAGAAATAGACTTATTTACTATCACTGTAGACTGTTGAATCTCTGCCAGAATAACAACTTTTGAAGTTTATTGTATGCTAACTAACTTCCATGATCTCTTCAGTCACCAATCTAAATATGCTACAAAAAAGAGTCCCCTTCCCTAAATATATGTATTCTTCTGGGAGGCCAAAGTATATGCATTACTTGTACTCTTATTCAGTTCTTTTACTACATGATGCTGTTGTATTTACAGAATAGTTCAAAGTCGGGTTGGGTTCGTTAACCGTTCACTTTGGTTTAAATTTAGTCTCCTTCATTGCATATGTTTTCTTCAAGGTTGGACGCCTGTGATATTAAAGTTGAATTAAGATATCATATGCAACAAAACCAGATGAAATCACACAAAGGTTATATATAGTGTAATATTTTTCATGGAAAAGGTACTTCTAGATGCTGCCAATGGTATCCATGTTGAACATGATTAATGGGTCAACACAATAAAATCACTCGAGTAGTGGAATATGATAAGTTGATTTCTTTATTTTCTCAACAATTGATTGATTCTTTCTTAGTTTTATGTGTTCTTCGTTGTATAAACATAGACGGGACTCGTGTACAAAATTGAGTAAGAGTAGTAAAATAGTAAAACTTAAGCGGTTGTGTTTCTTTGTCTTACATTTTCTCCATTCAGCATGGTGTTGTAGTAGTTAGATCATTTGCTTTTGCTCTGAATACATTACATATCTAGTCTTCTTTTCCACTTCTGGGTTAGATTTGCAAAATGTTTATTCTATACACTTTTTTCTTTGTATTTACACGACGTTCATTTTATCCATTTTTTTCTTCATATTTGCGTAAAATTTAATGTTTAGTCCTTGCTGGTGGAAAGGATAATAATGTATAAACAAGCTTTTTATCAAAAGGACAGCAAAAATGGGACAAAAAACTTAATTCATTTTATCCATCTTTTTTTTTGGGTTTGGGGTGTTTGCGGTGGGAATTCAACTAGGGTAATTTGGTCTAGTTTGATATGACTAGCTCTTCTTTTGAAAATATAAAAAGAAAAAAAAATCACCAATAAGTCGTACTTTTTCTCTAAAAGAACGATTAAATCATATCATATTTATTTTAGAACAACTGAGTCTTACCTTTGGATAATTATTTCCAAAATGTTTTAAACTCCATGAGTTGCAATTTTATCCTTCTTAATAATTAGATGCACTTTTTTCAATGATTGTGTTAATATATTAGTCTTACATTGTTAATTTACTAGTTATAACCCGTGTCTGAAGGCACGATAAAATATAAAATTTGAGTATCTAAAAAATCAATCCCAATATATTAAATTTTTTTAAAATATATTAACTACAAATTAATTAAATATTAAATGATTAAATATATGATAGAAATGAGTAATGTGATATTTTTATAAAGAAAATATATAAATAATTAAATATGTGATAGAAATGAGTGATGTGATTTGACGTTTGATTTTGACAAAGAGATGATGGGTGAGGTAAGTGATTGATGATGATTTTAAGAGAAAAAATATGACTGGGATAAAATTCAAAACACTCGTGTTTTATTATATAGATATAATTATGAGCTAATGCGCTAAGATAAAACAAAACAAACCATAAAAAAAATTTGGGATTTTTGGGGAATAAATTATCAAAAGTAGGACTTAATTGTTGTGAAGTAAATATGATAGTATTTAATGGTCATTTAATTTATAGGAAAAGTAGAATTTATTTGTGATTTTACACGAAAAAAAATTGATGGTAGGCAAAAAAAAATTAAGAGCGTCAATTTTAACTATGCACACAAATTTGACTTGATACAAAATCTGAACTTAGTCTTGCTTTAATTCCATGATAAGTAACTTGACATGTACAAGACTTAAAAGACTAACGCCAACGTCGAGCTCCATGAATTATAGCTTTTCTCAAACTTTTAATCACTTTAGTATGCTCAACAACCTTAACCCTTCTAAAAACTTTGTTCAATTTATATTGGAAAAAGTCTATGACACAAAAGGAAACAAAAATATTTAGATTTTCTATTTCAAATCGAACTAATTAACAATATGCCAAAAAAAAGAAAGAACTTACTATAATCCCGAGGAATAATTTTGCAGATAGGGTAGAGTTGAGATAATCGAGAATTTTTTGATTAACAGCTGAAAATTTTAGTATTTTATTTATGAGTGGTAGGTGTGGTTAAGAAATAATGTGATCTTAATGTTAGATTTTTAATTTACAAATTAAATGAATTAATTTAAATACAACACAATAATAAATAGGTCAAGTTAATATTATATAAATTTTTATTGTTTATTAAATAAATTAAATTATGATTAAATAATATTCAACACGAACATCAAAGGACACGACATGAAGAGTCGATTGTCACTCCATTAGTCTAGTTGATTTTTTTTTATATATATTCAATTTTTTTAATTGTTTATCTCAAACCCCAGATTTTTTATTAATTCCATTATGAAGTTTCTAGAAGGGTCAAATTGGTCATTTAACTGTGTAGCCTTATTTATTTATTTATTTTTTGGGGTCAAAATATAAACATTCATTAAATAAAGATAACATGTTTACAAAATAAATTCATGCTATTCCTATTATTGCCTCTATGAGAATAATTTCCATTAGCCTTGGTGGAGGGTAGGCTACCAGTGTGCAGGTATATAACTCCTTGATCGGTTTGTTTTGCTAACATGTGGGCTGATTTGTTGCAATCTGTCTTTGCATAACTGTATTTGATAGCAGGTGGTTGGTTTGCATGGGCCCAATGTCTAATTGAATGGACTCAATCTCCCTTATGATTGTTGTTGGTGCCTAGTGGTAATTTTTGACTCAATACGACGGTACGATTTAAATTTAATACGAATTTTATGACACGGACTCGATTATAATTTGACATGAACTCGAAAATGAATCGACATAAAAACGCGAAATATAAACAGGTAATATTTGGGTTCAACCCGACAAATTCAAAATTTTGACACGATTAACTCGTTTATTTAAGAATGAACATTTTCTCTATTTTTTTATTTGTATAGTAACACGAAATTAACATGTTTAACTAGTATTATAGAAATAAAATGTTAATTATTTATAACTATTTATTTAGCATTGACATAATTACTGTATAAAAAAAATATTTTTACTCATTATTATTATTATTATGTTTATTAAGTTAATTTTTAGTTTGTAGAAAAAGTATGAACATGAATTCAATTAAGTGAAATTATTAGCGTTAAATTTTTTATTCAAAGTTTAAGTGAGTTAATATGAACACGACATGAAAAATAAACAGGTCAATTTGACACGACATAATTAGTTAAATGGGTTGGGTTAGAGTTAACTAATGTTTGACACAAACCCGTAATCATCCAATACGAATCCAACACGACATGACTCGATCAACCTGCTTAAGAGAGTCACCAAGTGAGAAGCTTCCTCCATAGCCATCCTGTAGACTCTCCTCACTGTGCTAGCTTCTACCGCTAATGGAGAAGCTACTGTGATGTCCCCATTCATCAGTCGACCCTCATAGTTGCATACCATAGTAGCATAGGATCCTCTTCTAGATTTAGCCAAAAAAGTTGTGTCACAATTTATTTTCATGAATCCCACTACAGGGGGAGACCATGCGGTGTTCATATGCTGACTCAGTTTGGGTAATTGGTGCAACATTAATTTGCTGGAATTCTGAAGGGGCTGCAATGGCTTGATTAATAGTGCCCTTGCTGTTAGGGTGCTGATTTTGGTACACCCAATTGTTACGAGCTTTCCAAATGGACCAACATAGGTGTAAGGGTTGGCTTAGCAGCTCCATAGTTCTTGTCCTTGCCAATTGTCCCAATTGTTCCATCAACCAAACTTTTATTCTTGTAATTTCATACCTATCTGTAATATACAACAGAGACCCAAGGGCATAATAGGAAGAGATGCTCAATTGTTTCTTCCTCATCCCCATATATTGGACACATGGGGTTTTGTGTGACTTTTCTCTTCTAGAGGGTCCATTTGGTTGGTAGGATTCCATTAGCTTGCTTCCACAAGAAAGATTCCAAAGGCCATACGGGGCTAGAAAAGAAGAGCTTGCAACTATACTTGATTGGTTGGTTATTGTGGTTTGCTGTAGCAAAAATATCTGCTTTTTACTGAGTAATAATCTGACCTTGTGTATACCCATTTGAGTTCATCTTGTTGTTGAGTTTCACCCAGTGGTATGGATAAAATATCCCTGAGTACTTCTGGAGCAAAAACATTGTGAATGAGGTCTGAATTCCATCTTCTATGAGGCTGTTGAATCAGTTCTTGTACACTTGAGATATTGCTTTGGTAGGTATTGGGTATTCGTGGGTGCCCTAGTACCCAAGGATCCTTCCAGTATTTAATTTGGCTACCATTGCCTATTTTTCAATTGCAGCCTTTAGACAACACATCTCTACCCTCCAATAGACTTTTCCAAATCTAGGAAGTTGGTGGTTTAGCATTCACCTTCCATATAGATTTTCCATAACAATATTTTGCTTGTATAACTTTAACCCAAAGGGAGTCTAGAGCC